ATAATATATAAAACAACTGCAATTTAACAATGTTAACTTAAAATTGTATCAAGTGAGGGGGACAGCCATATACAACAGCATATTAAAAGTAATTTAAAATCAGTTATTAGAATACCTGGAAAAGAGAAATGTTTTTACCTGGCCCCAAAAAGGAAACAATGTTGGTGCCAAGCAAATTTTGCAGGGGAACCTGTTCCATACATGGGGGCAGACACTGCAAAGGTCCTCCTCCTATTTGTCTTCCCTCTCACCTCTTGAGGGATTTATTTATTTGAGATATTTATATGCCGTCCTATTGCAAAAGCCCAGGTCGGCTTACATAAATATAATACAAATATCAGTATAAATAAATTATGACAGAATATCAACATAAAAATCAACATAAACAAATCGACCCACTCTGGCTGCAGTTAAAAATATAATTTAAAAAAAATACAATATTAAAACTTATTAAAATATTGATGAAATAAAAAGGTCTTAACCTAAGATGACTCTTAGAAGGACCTCCTGCCCAGATCTTAATGGGTGGGTAGGTATATACATACGGGAGAAGGCAGTAATTTAGGTAGCAAGGTCCTAAGCTATCTAGGGCTTTATATGTTAAATCAGGCCTGGTCTTCAACTGGCAAACAGTGTAATTTATATAGAGTAAGTATTATGTGGGCTCACAAACTGGCACCTGTTACTAAGCATGCAGCGTAGGTTTGGACCAGTTGAATTTGCCAGACCATCTTCAATGTAAAGCACCTTACAGTAATCTACTCTGGCCAGGCTCTGTCTGCCCAGGTAGGGCAACGTTAATATATTACTGCAGCTGAAGGAAGGTGGCCCTGGCCTCCACCTGGGCCTTCAGAGATGGTCCTGGATCCAGGAGCACCTCCAAGCTGTGGGTGCTTTTTATTTCAATTTAAAGGAAGCCACAGCCTTGAGTTTACAAGAGCTGAGCAGGGCTTCAAGGATAGGTCATTTTGGAGGGTGTTCATTCATAGGGTCCCCATAAGTTGAAGATGACTGCACATAACAACAACAATTAATTGATGTAACACTTGTGGAATATTTATGTGGTGTAATTTACTTATTTTTGTTCTTTTTATTGTTTGGCATAATAAAAGCATTTTAATTGATTAATGTACATTTGTTCATCTGCTTCAGCCTTCAGCCACTTCTGAAATCAGCACACAGCTTTCCTGGCCATACAGTTGGAAGCCAGGGAAGATTAGCCAGACCCTGGGACAGAGCTTCAATCTGAGCAAAGCCAGCTTTGTTCACTAGTAAGGAATCTGAGAGAGATTAGATCAGTGATTCCCAAAGTGGGTGGTACCACCCTTTTGGGAGCAGTGGAAAGATCTGCGGGGCAGGGAATGATTGATCATTATAAATTTGCAGTAGAGCAACAGACCTAATACAAAGAAAATGGGATGAGGGCACTAGGCTTGTCATCCAAGAGGAAAGGGGGTGGCAGCCCGAAAAAGTTTCCGGACAACTGGATTAGATTATGGCCAAACATTTTTTTAAAAAATAATGAACATTTTTAGATTTTTCCTGATGACTTTAGAAACCCTTAAGAAACCTCTTTCTCACCCACACATCGCTTCCTTTTGTTGAGCCTAATACATGCAGTGCAAAGGAAGGAAATTTTTTTTTTAAGGCAGCTGAGGTTGGAATGGCATCTGAGTCACAGCGGAGGTTGCATGTTCTTATGAATGGATGATTAAGCTTGTTGCCAGTATTGTTTTTTTTTTTTTTTCTTGCACAAAACATATGTTGCAGCTAGGAAGATGTGCTAGAAATTGAGGGAGAAAAAAGGAGTGAAATCTGGCTTGCTAGGAGAGCAACAAGCTAGAGAATCCCACTTCAAGTATAATGCTGGTTCTCTAGTTTGTTGAGCTGCTTCCATCAGTAGGAGCAGTAGAAATGGAGCGCCATGCCTGAGCATGGATGTACATTCACACGTCAGAATTTTCCGCAGTTCTGACCTAACACGTCTAGTGAACTGGCCTGTGTTCTCTTGACCTGGCTTGTCTAGAAGCTGCATTGCAGATCAGCATCTCTCAGCCCCTTATGCCAAGGGCTAATACCACAAGATTTCTCTTCCCTCTTAGACTCATATTCCCACCCACATCTATCTTCTTGCCTGCCATGGAGGACCAACAGGAAGGGGAAGTGAAAACCTGTGTGGCTTTACAGTTCAAGCAGGTTCCATCAATGTTGCACACCCAGTGTTAGTACACCCAAGCAGCAGCTACCCACACCAAGGATTCCTGGTGTGCTACCACTGCACATGCTGGCCAGGGTCGCTCATGTTCTACTTAAGAGCTTCCCACAGGAACCAAATGCTGGTCTAAATAGAAGCTTGGTTGATCCCTGCATGCTTGTCCTTACATGCTAAAGCTGACCTTAAAAAGCAAAAGTGTGGCTGGTAAGCCTCAGAAATGCCATCAGAAACTGTATTCCATGGCAAACAATCTTATTCCGTTCATAACACTACTTATCACATGCATTTCTGGCAACAGATTGTACGCCTCCATACTTGTGAGCCACCCCGAGGCTTCTGCGATGGGTGCAGCATAGAAATGTTATACATAAATAAATAATACTCCATGCTGTATGTTTCTCAGAGCTCCATCCGTAATCCATTAAAATCCACATCAGTGATCCTAAACATTGTGGACTCATTTGCCGCAAGGAGTCCATCCTTAACAGCACTCCTCTGGCAACTCTGACTCGTATTCCTGCTTCTGCTCTTGCTTTCTAAGCCAAAGAAAGCTCTGGGGCACTATTCTCTGCTTGTGTTTGGACGGGAAACAAGGCCTACAGTTTCTCAGACTGTATGGGGAACGCTGGCAAGTGTGGGACCATTTTCTGCATAAACATGCATAGAATTACACCCTGAGAAGCTGATCTTGAGTGCCGAAGAAAGTGGGCAGGGGTCACCCATTGGGTTACTTAAAATCTATTTTACCTCTCTCAATATATTGGATATAAGGCTTTAGAAACACAACAGCTGGATTTTGCTTAAGGGATGGCATCCTTTGTATATTTTCTGGCTGAAACCGATTGAAAATTGCCCTACCCCCCTTTTTTTCACACTCTGCAACATCCTACTGATTTCAGCCTTTGCTGTGTGCTAATAGTATTGTCTTGTGCTTTCCATGTTTTAAGGCTTCTTTTCCAGATTTGCCACTGTCTGTGTCATTTGTTCCAAGTAGATGGGCTGACAGTATGGTCTAAGAATCTGTGTATTATATGTATAAATATTTATTCCTAAAACTTATTACAACTACAGTAATGTAGGTGGCTATGTGTACAGCCATTTGTATTGTGAATTGTATTTGTGAGGAAGAAGCTGAGAAATGTTTATTTGCATTTTCTTAACTTGACAGGATATGGATTTATTTCCTTTCTGCTTTCCTTCTGTGCTTATTTTGGGACTATAAAGCATCCCGTGGTGTCACTATGTGCCATTATAATGTTAGGAAGTATGGATGATCCCAGGTTAACCTTGCTGAGCGCCTCAGCAAGAAAGGGATCTTGGGGTGGTGGTGAACAGATCGATGATAATGTTGGCCTGGTATTCAAAGTTTGCTGCAAAGGCAAACTCCATGCTAGGCATAATTGGTAAAGTAATAGAAAACAGAACTGCCAGAGTCATCCTCCCTTATACAAATCTTTGGTATTTGGAATATTGTGTTCAGTTCTGGTCACCTTACCTGAAAAAGGACATTATTGAGTTGGGAAAAGTACAGAGACGGGCAACAAAAATGATCAGGAGGCTGGAGCAGCTTCCCTGTGAGGAACAGCTACAACAACTGGGACTGTTAAACTTAGAAAAGGCAAGTAAGGGGAGACGTGATAGAGGTGTTTAAAATAATGCATCGTGTAGAGCAAGTAGAGGGGACAAGTAGAGACATTTTTCTTCCTCTCCCATATTACTCAAACCCAGGGTTGTCCCATGAAGCTAACTGGTGGGAAGTTTAGGACAGATTAAAGGAAGTACTTCTTCACACAGCTCAGAGTTAAACAATGGAATTAGCTGCTACAGGAAGTGGTGATGGCTGCCAATCTGGCATTACAAAGGGATGGGACAGATTCATGGAGGAAGAGCTATCAGTAGCCACCAGCCTTGCTGGCTGTGTGCTGCCTCCTTTTCCAGAGGTGCCATGCCTGAGGAGCTGGACAGGAGGAGATCTTACACCCATCCTTCTTGAGGGGAGCAGGTCTGCCACTGTGTGTATGGGGTGCTGGACTAAGTGGACCTTTGGTCTGATCCAGTGTGGCTTTTCTTCCGATCTTACATTCTGTTGTGCGATTTGGGATGTTTTCAAATTCAGACTGGTAATTTTTCTCCCAAATTTCATCCTCCTGGCTTTTACAATTTTCTTTCTGTAACACAGAACATTTGAGAGGGAAGAAAACTCACCCCAAATGTATATAAGAATGCTTCCAAAGGCAGGGAACAAGGTTAACCTCAGGTCATTTTGGTCTCTTGATAACCAAGGACTAAAAAGTCATTTTAGTCTCTTTTAGCTTTGAGTTGGAGCTAAAACCTGTAGGAAACAGGATTAAAATCCACTGAAGGATAGTCTTTTTATGGTGATTTAAGTTAGTAGGCCAAACTGAAAGGTCAATAGGCTAAATAGTGTTATGCAGATTGTATTATTGTGCAAGACTCCAGAAAAGATTTGTTGAACTACCTGTACCAGCTGAAACCTGGAATCCATTCTTATAATGATTCAAACCTCCTGGTGGGTGGTGTGGGGAGAGGACATTCAGCCAGATAAAAGCCTTTCATATGCAGCATTTGGCTTGCCTGAGACAGTTTTGTCTGGGGTCATTTAATCACCCCCTGTGCAAGCAGTGCTAGCTTTCAACTTGACACAGGATGAAAACTTGTCCAGGACAGGGTCATTTTAGTTGCTTTTGCTTGAGTTAGTCACTCAGTTACTTGTCTGCCAATCCCTAAGATGTATTCTCTAATTAGTTTGTCATCTTCTTCACAGAACAACCAAGAGGCATCTGACTTTTTACGATGGAAACCATCCCTGCCTTCCAGGAGTGTGCCATGTTTCTATGGCAGAACCTTTCTGTGCCAAAACTCGAAAGGTTAGTGGTCCTTACTGGAGGTATGCCTCTGGCTAGGAGCCAGCAGTGGACAGGTTCATACCAGCATCTGTTCGCAAGTAAAACATGGCTATACCAGTCCACATCTACAGCTGTTCCCTGTGTGTGATTTACAGGGGTCACATCAGAAGCATGACATACAGGGAGCACTTGACCACAAGAAGCACAATGGTAACTCCAGGTGTGATGAGCCCCTTCAGAAGTAGGAGAAAGAAATCACATTCTCAAAAGATGTTTGTGTCTCACACGTGCATAGGAGCTGATAGCAGTTGCCTGTTGCGTGTGCCTAGAGGTTTAATGACAAACTTTTACAAATTCTGGGTTGACGTGTTGGCTTAGTAGTATGCCTTTGCTGCTGCGTGGGGTGCAAAGCAGGCAGCTCACGATAATCGTATTGATGCTATTTTATGTGGAAGTGTAATGTTCTTTAGCAGACTCAGCAGTAAAAATGCCTTACTTTGTATCCTAAGATGCACAGCCTAGCATAATACTTTCTGAACTATGGCTAAGGTGATGATTTAAAAATCCTTGGGGAGTTTGTAAGAATCTATGAAATAGCAAACACTAAAAGTATAAATAGCGTCCTATCTCCATTTTGTTTTTAAATTCTCTTTCTCTGTGTTAACCCTAAAACTTTGTTCTGTCATTGTGTTCCAATCCCCTTCTTCCAGTTCCAAATAGAGATCTTTAAACTGATGGCAGTCTACCTATATGGTGAATATGACACTCGATCATGAATGAAGTGGCCTGAATGACCTCCAGAATTACTAGCTGATGTGTCACTAATCTCTCTCTCTTTCTCTGTCTCTGTCTCTCTCAGGTTCTGATAGATGTTGCAAAGAAGCTTGGGATCAAGTGTCACTCAAAGGGAACCATGATCACAGTGGAAGGGCCACGTTTTAGTTCTCGGGCAGAGAGTCTAATGTTTCGCAATTGGGGGGGTGATGTGATCAATATGACAACAGTCCCTGAAGTGGTTCTTGCGAAGGAAGCTGGCATCTGTTATGCAAGTATTGCTATGGCAACAGACTATGACTGCTGGAAAGAACATGAAGAAGCGGTGAGCAAAAAGCTTCTGTTTCCCTTTGGGTTCTGTTACTGTTTGGCATTTGGACCAGTCTAAATCTATTGTGTCCACTGGGTCTTGAACTCCAGAGTTACAGCAGTTGAAACAGCGGTGGAGATACCAGAGCACAGACTCGTTTAGTTTCATTGGATGAGTATCCATTGGTACAGCTTGAGGATGTGGACAAGGTGCTTGGGCAGGTTCACGTAACCTTTTCTGCACGGGATCCTTGCCCCTGCTGGCTGATGAAAGCCAGCAAGGAAGGAATAAACACCTGGGCCAGAGGGATCATCAGTGCCTCTTTGTGAGAGGGAGTGGTCCTGCATTGTCTTAAAGAGGTGGTGTTGAGACTGCTTCTCAAGAAACTCTCCCTCAGCCCAGAAAAATTGAACAACTACAGGCCAGTAACCAATATTCCTTTCCTGGGCAAGGTTCTAGAGAGGGTGGATTCCAGTCAACTCCAGGCATTCTTGGATGAAAATTATTGTCTGGATCCATTTCAATTGGCATTAAGGTTTTGACATGGAAACAGCCTTGGTTACCTTGGATGACCGCTGAGTGGGATCATCTGGGGTTTGGAATGCATTGCCATCAGTATGCTGATGACATGCAGCCCTAGTCCTGTTTTTCATCATCTGCAGGTGAGGCTGTGGATGTGCTAAACTGGTGCCTGGCTACAAAAATGGACTGGATCAGGGCTAACAAACTGAAACTCAGTCCAGACAGGGCTGTGATGCTGTTGGGGGGTGATTCCTTTGACCGCATGGGGGTGTTCAGCCTTTTCTAGGTGGGGGTCACACTTCCCCTGCATGAGCAGGTTTGTAGCTTAGAGGGGGTCCTTGAGCCATCTTTGAGGCTCAGGTTGCATTGGTGGCTTGGAGTGCCTTCTACCAGCTTCAGCTGGTGGCCCAGCTGTGCCTGTACCTGGACAGGGATAGTCTGGCTTCAGTGATCCATGCTCTGGTAATCTCTAAATTAGATTACTGCAATGTACTGTATGTGGGGCTGCCTTTGAAGTTAGTTTAAAAGCTGTGGCTGGTGCAGAATACAGATTAATAACTGGCATGCAAAGGTCTGAACATATAAGATGAGTTCTGGATTGCCTGCATTGGCTGCCTGTATGCTCCCAATCCCAATTTGAGGTGCTGGTCTTAACGTATGAAGCCCTACACAATTTGGGATTGCAATACCTGTCAGAACGCCTCTCCCAACCCTAATCTAGTTTGACACTATGCTCAGTGTCTGGAGCCTTCCTCAAAGTGCTAACTGCTTGAATTTCTATCAAATTTGGAATCTTTTTTTTTATTGGCTGGAGAAATGGGACTTGGTTTAGATCTAAAAATGTTTTTTTAAGATTCCATAAATGGATCTGAATATGATTACAGGATGTTAAAAGATCTGTAGCAAGGGGCTGACTCAATAGTTCCGATGTTTGTGATGATTGATGTTTTTAGTACTGTTTTAAAAATTTAATAAAAGTAACTGGGAAAAAAAGTGCTAACTGCTTGAGAGGCTCAGAGAGTGGCAACTAGGGGGAGGGCATTTTCTGTGGTGCCCACCCATTTTTGGACAACCTCCCTGCTACAAACCACCTGGCACCAAATTTGACATCTTTTTGGCACCAGGTTAAGACAGCCCTCTTTACAGAGGCCTTTAAAGACCTCTCTGGTCATTCAGGGGCCTGACAATTATCCAGGCACCTTCCTTTTACTCTTGGCTGGGTCTTTTTTATTATTATTTTTAAATGTCTTCCTATTTTAAATTAATTTTTTTTTCTTTTTCTTGCTCTTTTGGATTTTATTGTTTGTTCGTTTGTTTGTTTGGAAGGCTTCTATGCCACCCCATTCACCGAAGCCTCGGGGCAGCTCACAATAATAAATAAATAAGAGCAGTATAAAACAATATAATATGAGTCAACCTGGCCCGAAAAATAAAATAAATAAATAATATTAACAATTAAAATAGCATTTGAATAAAAAGGTCTTTGCCTGGCACAGAAAAACAAATGACGGCACCAGGCGGACCTCTCTGGGGAGCGCATTCCATAGATTGGGCGCCACCGCAGAGAAAGCCCTCCTCCGAGTACTCACCCTCCTAATTTCCTTCACGGAGGGTTCCCGGAGAAAGGCCTCTCCCGCAGATCTCAGGGCGGCGGGCGGGGATATATACGTAAGCGTTCCTTCAGGAATACGTAAGCGTTCCTTCAGGAATACGTAAGCGTTCCTTCAGGTAACCAGGACCCAAGCCGTTAAGGGCTTTATAGGTCATAACCAACACCTTGAATTGGGCCCGGACTTCAATGGGGAGCCAGTGAAGCTGACGGAGAACTGGAGTCATGTGAACATAACGCCCAGTCCCCGTCAGCAGCCTGGCAGCTCTATTTTGAACCAATTGAAGTAGCCAGACCACCTTCAAGGGCAGCCCCACGCAGAGCACGTTACAGAAGTCTAGTCGGGAAGTCACCAACGCGTGTGTCACCGTTGCCAGGCAGTTGTCCTCCAGGTAGGGACGCAGCTGATGGATCAGCCGAAGCTGAAAGAAAGCGCTCCTCGCCACTGCTGTCAGCTTTCCAGTGAAAGCTCTGGGTCGAGGAGCACTCCCAAGCTGCGGACCTTGTCCCTAAGAGGGAGTGCAACCCCATTCAGGACTAGGTTCAGGTCCCCTTCCCTGAAGCCCAATCCTCCAACCAACAGGACCTCCGTCTTGTCTGGATTGAGCTTCAGTTTATTGGCCCTCATCCAGCCCTTTACCTCGGCCAGGCACCGGTTCAGCACAGCCACTGCCTCACCTGGATTGGTAGAGAACGAGAGGTAGAGCTGGGTATCATCAGCGTACTGATGATTCCGCAGCCCACACCTCCTGATGACCTCTCCCAGCGGTTTCATGTAGATATTGAACAGTAAAGGGGACAAAATGGAACCCTGCGGTACCCCATGGCAAAGCTGCCATGGTGCAGAGCCATAGTCCCCCAGCATCACCTTCTGGAATCGGCCATTGGGATAGGAGCGGAAGCACTGCAAAGCAGTGCCTCTGACCCCCAATCCCGCTAGCCTATCCAGAAGGATACCATGGTCGATGGTATTGAAAGCCGCTGAGAGGTCCAGGAGAACCAACAGGGACGCACTCCCCCTGTCTCTCTCCCTGCACAGGGTGACAAAGGCAGATTCAGTACCCTACCCTGGTCTGAAGCCGGACTGAAATGGGTCCAGATAATCAGTTTCCTCCAAGAGTTTTAATATTTATGTTATGTTAGGTATTTGTATTTTATTTGTGTAAGCCATAAACAGAGCGAGTCAGAAGGGGCCTCCCGGGCCATCTAGTCTGACCTTTGGCACCAGCCGGCTCCGCTCACGACATGCCCACCATGTGCATGTCCAGCCTATCCTTGAACACCCGCACCGATGGGGCCTCAACGACCTCCCGGGGAAGCCCATTCCACACCCTCAGGGTCCTGTCAGGAAGTGCTTCCTGGCATCCAAATGGAACCTTGGCTCCCTGAGCTTTGCTCCGTTGGAGCGCCTCCTGCCTTCCTTTGCAGGGGAGAACAGGTCTCTACCCATCTCCGCGTGACATCCCCTCACATACCTGTATGTCGCCAACAGATCCCCTCTGAGTCTCCTCCAGGCTGAAGAGACCCAGTTCCCTCAGTCTCGCCTCATACCCCATCCCCTGCAAACTGGCCACCAACCTTGTGGCCCTACGCTGCACTGACTCTAACCTGGCTATATCCTTCCTGTAATGAGGGGCCCAAAACCGAGCACAATACTCCAGTTGCGGGCACACCAGAGTTGTATAGAGTGGTAGTAATACCTCTCTTGATCTAGATGCCATACTTCTGGCTATGCAACCAAGGGTGGCATTCGCCTCTTGACCACCGCATCACGCTGCTGACTCATGTTAAGCTTGCAGTCAACCAGTACCCCGAGGTCCCTTTCACAAGTGCTGCTCTCCAGCCATTTATCCCCTAATCTGTACTTATGACACCTATTCCTATGCCCCAAGTGCAAGACCTTGCACTTATCCGCATTGAATGCCATCCTGTTGTCTCCTGCCCACTTCCATAGTCTGTCCAGATCCTTTTGGATCTAGAGTGCCTGCTCCTCAGTTGTGGCCACTGCTCCAGTTTTAGTGTCTACGAATTTGATCAGCAGACTGTTCACCCCTTCTTCCATGTCATTAATGAAAAGATTAAACAGGATTGGCCCCAGGACAGAGCCCTGGGGGACCCCGCTTGTCACTGGCCGCCATCCCGATGATCCCCACTAATGGTTACCTTCTGCTTTCGGTCAGTCAGCCATGCCCTAATCCACCAGACAGTGCTTTGGTATATCCCAAAACTCCTCAGTTTCCCCACCAGGATATCATGGGGCACTTTGTCAGAGGCCTTGCTGAAATCCAGGTATACCACATCCACTGCATCCCCTCCATCCAGCCATCTCGAAACCTTGTCATAGAATTCCACAAGGTTTGTCTGGCAGGACCTGTTTTTGCGGAAGCCGTGTTGTGTGGCTGTCAGCCTTCCTTCCCTATCTAGCATCACTAGATCTCTCTCTATTATGAGCCTTTCCATTGTTTTTCCTACAATAGACATAAGGCTAACAGGTCTGTAATTCCCCATGTCCCTTCTACTACCCTTTTTGAAAATTGGGACTACTGATGCCACCCTCCAGTCCTCTGGAACTTCACCCGTTCTCCATGAGGCCTCAAAAATGGAGGCCAGCGGGTGTGAGAGAACCCCTGCCAACTCTCTAAGTACTCTCGGGTGTAATCCGTCAGGGCCTGGCGCCTTTGTAATGTCCAATGCCCTGAGGAGCCCCTTGACTTCAAGGGGGGTGAATCTAATCTGTGCCCCTAAGTCCCCAGCCTCATCTAATCTCCTATGCGGATATCCCCCGTCCTGCTCTGGGGGGAACACAAAGGCAAAATAGTCATTTAGCATCTGTGCCTGTTCCCTCATATCAGTCACTGGATCTCCTTCCTCCTTATTTAGTGGT